GGGGGGGTTAGAGGATTTTGGGGGATGGATCCATGGTTTTCAGAGGAAATGGAGGATGAGTTGTTGCTGACAGAGTTTAAAGGGGGTGGAGCCATAGTAAATTCTTTCTTCCTTTCCTTTTTTCCTTTTTTGTTTTGATATGAAATTCAAAATCAAAATTTTAAAACACCCTGATTTATATATGAGAAATATCTCAAGGTATCTTATGAACTAAAAAGCAACACAGGCACCTTCATGCAGGCATGACGTGACTTTTTATTTAATGATCATGTGATTGGAAGTCCTGTGAGTAAAGAAGTCAAATGGACACTGGTTTTTTTTCTGCACCTTGTTGAGATTTCACTTCTCAACTCTCCTATAAAGATTGCAGCAAGGAAAGAACAGCTTCAGTCTGATAACTTTTTTTTACAAAGGCTGAAGAGGTAAACAAGACATAGAGAATTTCCCTCAGAAAGTTTCATGATTTATAAACTAGAGGTTGTTTGAACAGACATTTGTAAGTACACCAGCGGGACACCAGAAAGCATACTATGCCAATGCTTTGCAGCTCAGGGAACACCAAGGAAAGAACTGGGAAAAAGAATGCAAGAAAGTTGAGCAGGTGTCTGTACCTTTGGTGAAGATCTCTCAGAAAGCTAGTACTCCTTGCATGAGTTTTTCACCCTCAGGTTGGTGAATTAACCCTTTAGCTTTCAACATCTAAACCTAAATTCTTTGTTATAATTATAGCTCTGAAAATTTCTTGTTTGATAAAACAAATTTCCCTCTGCTGATATTTTCTTACTTGTCTTTACCTATATGCATGGAAATGTAATGATATTGTTAGGAGAAATTCATCTTTGGTCACATGTGGAATTAATAGGGATAGTACATATTATTTTATTAAATGAAATTGAATATGGTTGTGTTAATGAAAATTTTGATTACACTACTATTAAAATTATTGTTATTATCCTTTTGATCATTCCTTGCTTGTGAAGTCAGGTTTGATGAGTCACATATTACATTTACTATTGATTCTCTTTACTGAGTTGGGCTTATCAGAGTGGACAATATGGGTGTGTGCATGATGTGATGATACAAAGTTATCTATGACTTTTCATAATTTTTTAAATGTCCTTCCAAAGTGTGCATGTAAATATGACTGAATAATTTTAATTTTGATTTTTTTTAATTTTTAATTTTTTTTTTTTCCCTCTTGTTTGGGACCTAAATTCAAGGTTACCACACACTCCTCTGCTCCTCTGACTTTACTCTCTTGTTCTTCTGTTCAATATGCAGCAGATTTCAAAATGGTTCTTAGGTGCGTGGGGATTTTTTTCATTTCTGTCTTTCCTCCCACAATCAGAAACAATCCTTGCAACAAAGCAATTTGAAATAATTTTGTGGAAGCTCCTATGAAGGATTTGTGTATTAAATTGCTGATTTTTTTTTTTAAACTTTAAACTTTAATGATAAATACTCCCCCCCCAAAAAAAGGTTTTTCAGTACCTATTTACAAATATGAATGCTAACTATAACTGACAAGCTATGGTTAAACACTAAATTCTAGCTATCACTTGATCATTCGTTCATGGCAAGTTTCAGGACTTTCTTAAAGGCCTTTACAGATGTAACGTTTCTCTGGTCTTCGTCTAACATGTTCCACAGAGATACTGCTCTATAGGCAAAGGACCTTTGGCCGTAGCTGATCTGAATAATGGAATGTCAATCTTCTCATTATTATGCGATTATGTACAGAAGATTGTTTTTTAAACTTAGCACATAGATATTCAGGAGCTAAATTGTTGACACACTTATAAGCTATAACAGCATCTAACAGATGAAAGAACAGTTTTTCCTATCAATTTAGTTCATCCCTCAGTGACAGAGAGGGTAATACTAGTAATATCACTGTCATTATCAGGTATGTGACGATAAAAATATCAGGGTTCCTGTGCTCCTTGAAAGTCCTTGAATTTAATTTTTTGTTTTCAAGGACTTGAAAACCCTTGAATTTAGACTCAGGTCCCTGAAAATTTCTGAAAAGTCCTTGAAAATAAGTGCAGATGAACCAAAGTTGAAGTTTTGTTTGGTTTTTGCTATTGAAAGTAAGTTTCTTGCACAAATCGCAAAAATGAGTTTTCCTTTCAAATCCCATGTCTGATTATATTTGACAAGTGATATTTATATATTTTGTACCTGATTGGTGCATTGAAAATAACCTTGGTTACCTAGCACCCGATCACTCTGATGTGCATGCCTGATGTGCATGCCTGATGTTACGCTCGTTGGACTTTTCCTGTTAATGTAATTTAGTTATTGACCCCTTGCAGCCCAACACCAATATCCATCTTCTAAATACTCTTTTCTATACATTTCCTTTTCTATACATTTCCTTGGTACATAGCATATATTTATTTAAACTTAATTCTTCCTAAATACACGACTCCACCAGCTCTGCTTTAAAATACTCCATCGTGTTTAAATAAAGTGTTCAGTTCAGTTCAGTCCTCTGGTACCGACATAGAGATTTTGTCTAACAATAAATGCTCCTTAGATTGATGAGCATTTCCTTTATTGTTGTGATCCTTTATTCTCAGGAGCAGTTTGACTATAAGGAGAAATTAGATTCTTGTCACTTGTAGGGTTTTTAAACCCTAAAAAAGGTTAAAAGATGATGCTGTTTGGGGGTATATTTGAAATAGGTTGTTGTAATTTTAATTTTAGATAGAGGGCCATGAGTTGACTAGTTTCTGTAACTATTTTGTGCTACCCTCTTGAAATATAATGTATTATTACAGTTGGTCATCTGTTATAAGGGATAATTCACATATTACCATTCACATCATTTAAACTGATCCAGAGGAAAATAAAAGTTATTCATCAAAGTTTCATTTCTTGATATGCACTTATCCAATTAAACTGATATAAATATATCATTATAGCATCTGTCGGGGTATTACAAGATAATTTGGTTTTATCAACTGAGTTGATAACGTAAACTGGAAACTATAAGGTATTTGTAAAGCCAAGGTTTAGAGCATTAGCCCTTTGTTAGAGGGAATAAGCTAGGGCTAATTTTCAAAAGGTCAGCTTTAGCAACACCTTGTTCCAAGTTCCAAGTTTTATTTCGCACTATTCAAATTAATACAGAATAAGATGACTTATAGAACTAGGTGAAAAAGATAATGAGAAGTAGATATCATGCAGGTTTGTATATGTGTGCACAGTGACCACAGTAGCTGTAGCTTTCATGTTCGTCACTGTCCCATTTAAGTAAAAAGAGAGGTCCAAGATACAAGTGTGAGGTAATAGTAAATTAGGGTATTAGGGGAATAGTTCTTAATATAAATATATAGAATGATCACTAGACTTATTGATACAGCGCGATAATATACTACAAAATAAAAATGGCCAATTTACATTTATCAACTCAGTTGATAAAACAAAATTATCTAGGTGGGATTACATGTAATCAAATAAACTTTTCAACATGCATGGATGTTTACTTTAAGTATTGACAAGATTTGTGTGTTGTGGCAACAAACTTGTAGAGCTTTAATGACTATGATTTCTTTGGGATACTTTTTTTTGCAACACTTTACTTTGAACAGAAAGAAGTATACTGAAATTTCACCTGAGATGACATGTTGATTTGTAGTACACTCCTTACCCTTTAGAGCTAACATCAGAATGGAAATTCTCTATACTTTTCTCCATGCATTTCCAGAGGTGCTGACAAGGAGAATTTGTTTAACAATCAAGGGCTTCTTCTCTCGACCTTAATGTGTGATTCAGGGGTGATATTATAAGGACAAACTGGATGTTAGTCACTGTTAGTGGTGAAATGGCGGCTTCCCCTTAGTTATTTTCTCAACAATTCTTTACTAGGTGATACTGGTGGAAAGCAAGGCGAAAAGGAAAGCTTGATAACACGAAATCCCTACTCTCTCTTTGTATTTATATCGACTCAAAGTGTCAAGTCCCCTCTGATGCCGTTAATAATTGCTGCTCAGAGTGGCAAGCCACAGGCGGTAAGGTTTCTTATCGGAAAAGGAACAGATCCGTATTCAAAAGACAACAATGGAAGGAACTCGTTTCATTGCGCCTCATTTGGTGATCAATTTGACCTCATTGAGCAACTAGTCTTGGATACAGCTGATGATTTCTGCTAAGAGAGGCAAGATACAGGCGCAGGACGGGCTCAGGTCCATCTATAAGACAATTGACAATTGGAATTCGTGACGTGTGCTTGATGGATAGGTAACGCGGGCATTATCGACGCAATACTCTTTTGTGAAGTTTCTGTCGAATCCTATGGAAAGTCTAATGAAACCTCGCTGTCTTAGCACAACATCCTTGGATGATCCGAGGGAGGGACCTTCATTGTATCTTCTTAGCAAATGTGCAGAGTCTGACAGGGGAAAGAAGCCGAAGAGTGCTCGCCTTGTCGAGCGCAGGGGATTCGTGGTATCTTCGGACTTCGACCACTGTTTTGTCATACGGTAAGTACAAATTCTTGGCTAATAGAGCGCTTTTTCGATTTATTGTCGTAGAATCAAAACCAAAGTGATCACAACAGGCAATTAGAAGAAAGGAAATTACCCTTAAGATACAATTAGAACTCAAAGTAAAACAAGCCAAAGCGCCTAAAACGCGGGAAAACGCGGGCGACCAAATCGCGTTTGGTGTTAGTTTTGCATCTGATTGGTTGAGAGAGTGACGCTAATTTTTTTGGACCAATCACAGAGCGAAGTGAAGCAAAACCAACACGATCTTGGATTACTTTCGATAATCAATACAATACAGTACAAAGACTTTATTTAAACAGGATAATTGTTAAAGTCTTCTTATCTATTTTGAATCAGTTTAGCCAAATTAACTTTATATGTGGTTTCAATGGAAGACCATCGAGCCTTGCTTAGTACTTCAGACTTAGGCATATCCCATGGCCAGTTAAAAATTAATTTTGCCGCTCTACAGTGTAAAGACTCTAATGCAATTAGGCCCTCCTTATTAGTAAGGCCGCCCCAGACAGTGATACCATATATAATTGATGGGTAGATTACTTTGAAGTATAAGTCCAGTAGCACGGGTCTTGGTAAAAACAAGCTGCGCTTCAGCATGTTAAGCTTATTTGCAAAGCTGATCTTTAATGCTTTTACGTGGTAGCCCCAGTTAAGTCTATTATCAATGTAGACTCCAAGTAGCCTGGTGTGTTTAACCCATCTTATACAATGATTCATGAGTATTCATGACTGTAGTGGACCGGTGAAGTTTCAATTGAAAACTTCTCTGATATGGTACAAATGTGAGTGTGATGGTCATGTGGTTTCTGTGGTAAATAAGCTGTCGTTTCCTCGTCTTAGAGGACCGAAAGAAGGGTTTTTATCGTAAATGATGTATAGCGGTTTCGTCGAGTTATATCGCAATCGGAGTCGAAACCCGAGACGAAAGCCTGACGGAAACGAAGTCGCATCGATAAGAACGGTTCCATTTTCTTCCGATTGTTCCAGTGACTTTGACCGTTAGAGTTTGCTCGACAATTTTGTCAGAGTTTTCTCAGCACGAAAAAGTAAAGACTTCGGTAATGTTTAATTGCTCCATCATAGGCCGCAAACAGGTGTTAAGCCGAAATAATTTTTTTGTCGATTAGCGCAACGGCGAAAAGCGGAGATCCAGTCACTCTTTTGGCCGCTTTGCCGGCAGCGGCGCGAATCTTTGATCATTTCGGAAGTATCCAGTTATCGGTATTTACAGCTTACAAGTAAACAACTCGTTTGTTTGTCGCACCGCTTTGTCTTTTGTTGACTGACAGGTGTCAGAGTATAAATAGGGCTTGGTGTTACAAGGGCTCCTCAGTCCAACTGTGAAGCAGTTAGTGGAACATGTCTGTAAACTCAATTGTCGTGGAGAGACAGCAATTTAAACCAGCAGTTTCCATTTTAGACTCTGCGCGGTTACGAGCAATGTTGTACAGTCCTTCAATCCGTGCCCTGTCCTTAGTTCCAGTGACCTCACGGCCACTGACCAATTTTTCCATCAGCAGAATTCTGGGTCTGGAGAACAGTGAAATTCATCAACACTCACAAGCTACCGGTAAGTTGCAATTTTACTTTACTGTACTCAATTAAAAAAAAATAATAATAATAATCTATAAGTAAACTTACCAGTTTGGATTTAGTTTTCAACTCTCCTTTATTCATTCAGTTTTTTGCTAAAAAGTCTTGGTCAAAGCATGGGTTCGCAGTCTCAATAGCGTTCGGGATAACTCGATTAACATTTCTTTGGAGTTAACTTGCAAGACAAGGGTCATTTCGTAAGGTTTCTGTAATTAATCTTGAACAAAAGCTCATCTTTCAAACCGGCATTCTAAATCACACAGCTATCAACGAACGCTTTTCATTCCACTAATTTTTCGTGTTTTTCTCGTTGCCATGTTCCCACCAATCACGTAGCTCCTTTTTCTGCCTTTTAAAGCACACACAACCCACAATTCCTGTATTCGCTCCGACGAAGGGCTAGCGCTCGAAACGTCAGCTTTTATAATCGTAACGGTGGCCAATTGACCATTTCACTTTTTTGATATATTCAAATGATTTCTGTAATTAGGTTAACTTGTCAAGTTCAAGTTGTGCATCCAAGTTTATTATGTTATCGATTTTTTTTTTCGTTTTATCAGTATTTAGGGAGCACCAGCGTCGCAATTCCGTTCGGGCGCCAAGTCCTGAACACTACTGCAGCGACATCAGCCCACGATCATCGCCTAATTCCAACCATTCCAGTTCCACCAGAGATTGTGAGAGCGAACCCGATCAACTACCGACACCTTACGAGCAAGTAGCGAAGAAAAAACGACAGCGCACGACCTTTTCGCTGTTTGAAGTACGGGAACTGGAGAGAGTGTTCAAGCGGCAGCCACATTTGATGCCCGAAGATGAGGAAGAACTAGTTCAGAGACTGGGGATCACGGCCAGGAGTCTGAGGGTGAGTAAGATTTTTTCCACTGGTCAATGGTCAAACTAAACATTTTTGGACTCCTCGACAAACTTTCCTTCCACAAACTCGAATTCATCTGTGCGCAAGCTGTACCTACCTTAGACTGGGATGGAATGGTCAAGCGTTATTGGATTAATTTCTATGTGAGAGAATTATTTAGAATTTTAATTGAAATCAGTGGAGACATTATAACCCATTGGTCAAAGCGCTCAGCTTTTAATCTGGTTGTCCCGGGCCTGCCCTCCACCCTGCTACTCTCTGGATTTGTTTGCACTAGCCTACGTGTAGCCGTACCCTCCCCCCGAGGAGATACATACCTCTGCATGGATTAGATTGACGTCACAGAACACGATTTGTGTCAAGTTTGCGTAGACGTTCCCTCCCTTCCGTTTCTCCTCGGGGGGGAGGGTGCAGCCACACGCAGTAGGATGAGATCGGACATGTTTTCTGGCTATGAAAAAGTAATAATAAGTTAAGAATACGTCAATAATCTTCCTTTATTCCTTTTAATTTCAGTACTGGTTTCAAAATCGACGTGCAAAATCGCGAAGAGAAGGAAGAAAGTTTCCGTCCGACTGTGAAACAAACCCGCTTGACCAGTTTAGAAAACCAGTACAGACCTTGATGCAGCCTCCTTCAAATCCTTGGAGACAAGCTGAACGTCTCTCATACATCAAAGAAAACAAACACTCAACAAAATGGAATCCACCAAGTCGACCGATGGTAGCACACTATCCACACTCGTCCATCAGGTCAGATCGCCTTCGTTCGTACCCATGCTCCATCCGTTCCAGTTAGAAGAAAGAAGACACCTTGCGCCCGCGAGACCATTAAACAGCCGTGATTTCCATAGATACCAACCGTATTAATTTTTTTGTTCTAGCTTTGTATTTCTGTTTAGTTTTAAAAAAACGCAATTATGTGACAGATGTTGATGTTGAGGATGTAATTCGAGAGATGATGGACCATTTTAGTGATATAATGAAATAAACAGTAAAACTTTGTAGAATTTATCAGTGGCATGTCGCAAAGAGGTTTGGGAAAATAGGTGTGTTATTAGTTGTGCTATGTAATCTTGTAATTTGAACTGTAATGAAAGAAGTTGCAGGTGGTGTTATTGCCACTATTCACATAAGAAACTTCAAATGCTACAACAAAAGCACCTAATAAAAAAGTTCGATAAATTTGCACAAGAGGCAATTACCAGATGGAAATCAGGAGAAAAATGATCTTTAATTTCCAAATTTTTGTTAGTAAATTACAGTAAAATGATTCATAAAGTTTTAGAACTGCATCAAGGCTATTCTATCTTGAAAAAGATACCTCGAATTTTTCAGTTCCATCACCTGCAAAGTTCGTTAATATAGGAGCCATTAAAAGACGTTTTCTTAATATATGATAAAAGTTGTCACTTAGATACTACCGTTTTTTTGCACTGTAATCATTTCTAGAGAATATCACTTAAGCCCTCAAATTACATAATCGATGACCAATTCCGCTTGTATGATATTGTTTCACCGCAGAGCTATAGCCACTTACACTGTTATGTCCAACCCTCGTTTGAGACTATTATAAAGACCGGGAGGTGATAATGTGGTTGCGATACTGTGGTGGCAAGCAAAATAGCGAAAAATATATGTCAAAGTGGCTGGCTTTTTATCTCGTAGTCAGAGGGTCTCAATAGAGTAAACTGATAGCCGTAAAACGATAAAAAATAATTTTAGTCGTATGGCGGAGAAATTGACATTTTAATCTCTACTGAGTCATTAAAAAAGGTTAACCGTTAAAAATTTTATTTTAACCGCAACAGAAAATTAACTATTAACCGTAAAATAGCAATTTTTTTAACCGTAAGCCGTAAAAGCCATCGCTCTCCATTAAGGCCTTCTGTTCATTATGTCTTCATCAGCCCGAAGTGTTTATTTACCAGTCAGAAATATGTGAAATCGAAAAAGGGCGTCGTTAATGTTGTCTACCGAATATTTCCTTGAGTGTTCTTGATACCGCACGCCTGATCTCGCGTATTTTCAAACAGTATACAATTGGATTGACAGAGGAGTTGAGTAATATCAAAGTAACTCCAAAAAAGCGAGACCGCCTAGCTGCCCTATCCATTCCCCGTACATGAATCACGATTAAAATGCAAAAAAATGGCAGGTAGCAGAGAACAAAGGCGACATAAACATACATCATGTTATACACAGAGCGCTTGTAACGCAAAAAATGAAAACGATTTGTTGTCCCAACTGTTTCTGCTGGACAGTTTGCTTGTATAGGTTGAGGTGGAGGGACTTCTCGTATGGTTTTTTCATGTCGTTTGAGTGTTAGATAAATCTTAAGATAACAAAATGTTATTGTCGATAAACACAATGCCAAAGCACAGTTAGCGTTGGTGTTGTATATCGTACTGTCGTAAACGATGACCGAAGTGCTAGCGAGGTACAGAAGCCAAATGAGTGTAAGGGTTGCTGTAACTTTTTTGCCCCTCACCAGATTGCGGTATCGCGTGCGGAAATGCATGGCAAGGAATCGATCGATCGCTATGGCCGTGAGAAGAACCAAAGACATATTGGGCAGATAGAAGTTGCTTAGGTAATACATCGCTCGGAGAATGCGCGCAGCGTTGACACAGCCACTGAGTGCTGTAAGAACAGTTGAAATGTACAAGGGTTGCACAATGACTCCGACTCCCAAGTCGGCCAAAGCCAGGTTAAACAGGAATATCTTGAATACGGCATGGAGTTGTGTCAAAGGGATCTTGCGTAACGCGACCATGATAAGTACGTTGCCGATTATTGTTACCATCGAAGAAAGAGCATTTATAGCGATGGAAGCCAAGTAAAAGGCAATTGGGATTTCAGGGTCGAGATATGGTGGTTGTAGAATATTTGTGAAATTCTCTGCCATTGTGCGAAAACTTGAATTCTGAATTGTTCTCGTCAATGAGGTGCCCAAGGAGAGGTTTCTTCTGTGTTTTTTTTTTTAGAGCTTTCTCGTTTCTGAAGTCGTGCACAGAGGTGCCTAACAATTAAGAGTACTCATCACAAAAATCGTATTTGACCACCTGCTTAAACATACGTGAGAAAACTTATACTTACCTGTATTAATCTATACTGTACATTATTATGCAGCTCACGTTTTTTATCCAGAAACGAATATTGGAAGAGTGATGTTCTTTCTCGTAAAAGTCTCTGTGAAGGATTTGCGATGTAATGCCGTTTTACAGATTAGTCTTCTCCCATGTTTTTATACCATTATTAGGAATTTGAAAATTATTACTTATCATAGTTTATTTGTTCTATGATGAAGATTTATTTTAGGTAGATTTGTAAAGAGACCATTCTGTCAAACATTAATTTAAAACATCTTTCCGTGACAATTGACTCGTTCTGGAAGTTTTCAGTGCTATTCTCGAAATTTCGAGTAAATGGAACTTTAAGTGTCCCTGTCTGAGAAAGTGTTCCGGGGGTCAAAAGTGGTGGTCAACCGATTTGGCTGAAACTTGACACAAAAGTTGAGTGTGATAGATATTTCAAAAGCCACTTTGGCTCACTTCTCTGACTGTTTGTTCTGGAGTTTCAGGGCGGGTCCCATTTGTGGCCTATGGAGCACCAAAAATTCATCCTTCTAGTTGGCATTTTAAAAGTGCTATAAAACTCCATTGGTAAATTGTGCTGCCAAATGAATTTGACCGTGGACTCTGCTATAGTGGAGCTTTGTTCTCAAGCGATTAGACTGAGAGGGGCCTGGGGCTAAAGCTAGGTCAAATTGGACGTAAAAATCACTACCCAAAATTGCTATTTTTCAAAAAACCATAACATTCACCTGCCTTCTTGCATAACTTTCGTACCAAATCCAGTACGTATGTACTTTAGTGACCCATTTATCAAAATCAGTTGAGAAAAATATGGCTTTTTGAGGTTTGTTGGGTTTTTGGCACAAACTCTCCATGCCCCTCTTAAGGCCAAGCAAAATGGAATTTTGAGCATAATTCATGCTATAAACAAATAAAAGCCTTTATTTTGAATTTGGTGGGTGAAAATGAAACATTAAAGCGAAATTAATGTTATTATCTAGAAATACTTCGATTCATAGCTTATAATTACTCTAAGAAGCCCTTTGATTAGCACTGCAAACACCTAGCGGTTTTGCAAAATAAAGGTAATTTTTTTTCCCATGAAAACCTAGTACCCATCATAGAGCACAAATGATAATGTTCTGACCTAGATATGACAACATTTTTTAAAGATGATTGAATTTTCTCGGATCTCTGTTTGTTAGGCCATATTTCCCTACATATTTCCCTAAATATTGCATACTCCAAGCATGCAAAGTCTCCATATTTTTTTAGGCCGTTTTTTTTAATTGAAAATAGAGTGACCTTAACCGGCCTTAACCATTAAGCTCTGAATAAAACGATTGTTAAAAGATGATCTACGCAAAAAGGAACCTGAGTGGCTTTATGAACGTGCAAAGATCACTGGGCAAGACACAGTTGCGCGAGAAGACAGCGCGAAAGAGAAGGACATTTTAAAACAATAATCAAGAGATTTAAGGCTCTTTGCTAAGGAATTCGGACAAGGCGTTAGCCAACAAAGAGTCAGAGACAAGACGAAAGAAAGAGCCGGAAGTCTACCGCTGGCTTTAACCATGATCCGACGAGTTATTTCACCTCAAACAGACAATGTTGTTGACATGCTCGAGGAACTTCAAGTCTTGAACGATGGACAGCATGCAACACCGGCAGTTGAAACTCGTCCGGTACTCTTTTCAAAGGGAGATGTGGTTGCTCTGAAGCACAACTGGAAGCAATATTTGGAGCCCTTTTTCCTGGCAATTCTTCGCGATGACCTTCATCGTAGCAATGATGGCTAAATTGCGCGCTTCGCTCATCCCACTTCAGCTTGAAACGCAAAACTTGACCACTTGCTTGGGTTTTTCTCAGACATGATCGGTCCATTATTCTGTGTGGAACTACATATATGTCCTAGACCACATTACATTTCGCTTAACGTTCGAAGAATTGTGAAGCCTTGGAGCCGACTGGCCCATAGCCATCGAGCTCATTCCCCCGCAGTTTGTTAGGTTTCCCCAACAATTCACCGGTACCCATTTATGCTCCTGGGTGGAGAGAGGCACTGTGAGAGTAAAGTGTCTCGCCCAAGAACACAACACAGTGTCCCCGGCCAGGCTCCTCGATCTGCGGACGAGCGCACTAACCACGAGGCCACCGCGCGTTGTTTAACATTACCAGAAATAAATTTGTGTTTTTTTTTCAATAATCCCTAAGATATATTACGAAAAAAAAGACAATCCTTTGAAGTAATGTGCAATGTACTCGATTTCTTTTAAGTATCAAGTCATGATTGAGTACTGAACGATAAATTTCGTAAAACGTTATTTATACGAGGAATCTCCTGCAATTCACTGTCGTGGTATATACTAAAACAATTATTTATCTCATAGCCAGTAAAATATACATTGCTGTTCGTGTTCGCCTCCAGTCCCTTACCGAGTAATTGTAAAATATTTTACATTATTATCCAACTACACCTAGACGAGTACGAATAACGCCATAGACGAGTACAAATATCACGCGGTATTTGTACTCGTCTATTGTAGTACCGGTTAAACAGGTTTTCTCGCATCGCGCAAGCGAAGAATTGGTTGTGTTGCTGTTTCTATTTTCTAAGTGGCGGTCAATTTGAATCATATTTCCGACGACGAAGAGTCAGAATGGCTGGCAAATATAGATCTAAGTTCATTTGATGAATCGAACGAAGAAAAAAAGCTTGACGACCAGAAAATTTCTTCATTTAATGAAGAAAATAGAAACAGCAACACAACAACGAGTTAATTCCGTTCCGCTTCGCAAACTTCTGTCACGCACTCCCAGTATATAAATATCCGCGAAATTCGCCTGCTGAAACAACAGTTTGGCGTGTTGGATAATAAATAACTTATTAGACGTTTTGTTGTGTAGTATCGCTGAGTATTTTTACTCGTTATTTGTATTTTGACTCGCCCTACGGGCTCAACGTTTTTTTTAATTGAAAATAGAGTGACCTTAACCGGCCTTAACCAACGACACAACTCGTAAAAATACTCAGCGATACTACACAACAAAACGTCTAATAAGATATAAATAGTGATCCTTTTTTCAACCAATAATGATCGTCCTACACAATTCCCCTACATTGCAAGAATGAACAGCGATTTGTAAATTACTGCATGCCCATGAATTAGATAGAATCACGCAAGTTTTCAGTCCTTCATTATTTGAGCACCTAAAAATACTTACAATTAGTGCAGTGTCCTTTCAAGCGCTCATTGTGAGGCGTTAAGGTCTACGATGGATGAAGTCGAACAGGAGAAATGGAGATCAATCGAGTTAATTTAGGTAGGCATCTAATGCTTTGGATAGTTATAATTAATAACGAACTTTGGGAACAATGTTTTCCTTTTAAAAGAAATTATAGATAGCTCTATCTTCCACGGGCACGATTATTGTCGATTAGCTATCAAGTTTTTATGAACTGATCGAGGCAAAACTATGAGGAGAAAATCTCGTGGGATCAGTTACGAAAAAATATACCTCGTTACGACCCTGTTAGAGGGGCATGGAGAGTTTGTGCCAAAAACCCAACAAACCTCAATAAGCCAAATTTTTCTCAACTGATTTTGATAAATGGGTCACTGTACATAATGGATTTGGTTTGAAAGTTATGCAAGAAGGCAGGTGAATGTTATGGTTTTTTGAAAAATAGCAATTTTGGGTAGTGATTTTGACCTCAAATTTGACCTAACTTTAACCCCAGGGTAGAAGGTATGAATAGAAGAATGAATTTTTGGTGCTCCATAGGCCACAAATGGAACCCCCTCTGAAACTCCAGAACAAACAGTCAGAGAAGTGAGCCAAAGTGGCTTTTGATACATCTTATCACACTCGACGTTTGTGCCAAGTTTCAGCCAAATCGGTTGACCACCACTCTTGGCCCTTGGAATACTTTCTCGGACAGGGACACTTAAAACCAAACGATTCGTGAGCCCATGCAGCTCTAGTTTTACTTGATCTTTTTTTTTCGCTTTTCGAAGATGAACGACAGTTCAACTTGAAACTCAACAAACACAGCTCTCTGTTGCTTAGGATCAGTTTTCCGCAAAATAATCTTTCAATAGAAAGAAAATGAAAGAGTTGACGAATTGTAAGAGGGTAAATAAAGGTGACGTAAGATTTAACTTAGTCGCTCTTTAAATTGTATCAAATGCAAATTTAATTATTGGCTTTTGATGCATGGTCAATACTTCAGAGTAGGTCTTTCTAAGAGTATTTGGAATATTCTTCTGATATTTAGATATTTCCAAGATGTGTGTGAAGGATATTAAGAGATGTCAATGAATTTAAGGCTGRA